TGGACAAATGATCACACAGTACTGAGGTTGATGATGCGAGATAAAGTGATTACCTTTTCACAGGAAAATACTGAGAAAAGTTACGCATGCTCAAACTAGGATGGGCCTGCAGAAATTTGAATGAATGGCAAAGTAACATTCTCACTTGCCATAAAGCTGTGCCATCAAGCAGCAGTACACATTAAGGTATCATCCTGTGTAGCTGCCTTTGTTATTCAGCACCTTTCCCAGTTTCATTCAAGCGCCCACATCACCCTGATGGTGCTGAGCACTTACCTGTGTCATCTTTGCAGATGCTGGAAGAACTGCTGTTCTCGTTACTTTGGTATAGACATTGGGTTCTGTTCTCTTGCGGAGCTGGTGAGGTCTGAGTCATCCCCTCTTCCAGGGCTTGTTTGATCCAGCGCTGAAACAGAACAAGACTACATAAACGTGCAACCCCTCCGGTACTTTCCATGTAATCTTGCAGGATGTACTCAAACTCCTACACTTCTGTGCAGCAGGGCAGACTGCTCAGAACACTGATATTACCTCCTTCGCGTGTGCTCAGACAGGAACCCGTTAGAACACAGCTGTTAGCACTGAGTCTACCACCTACTGTGATGGGGCTGACTATGTGCTCTTGATGAGATGTATTCTGGGGATCAGCAGTCTTCAGCAATAACACAAAGATAAGTAAAGAGCAAATTATAAATAGATAAAATGCAAAACTCTGGCAGCTAAAAACTATTAAAAACGATCTTAATTAAAAGAAAAGGGAGATAAATATGAGGAACTATTTTAAAACCCTGATTTTTGCAAAAAAGCTGTTTCCTGCCCAGGAGCACATACTGTCCCCCTGCTCCACTAAGGCATATTAGAGCTTAACATAGATTCTGCTCTCTCAATTCCAGCAGAGAAATGGCTGAGTTTAATCACACAACAATTCTTCCAGGACTGTGCTTGCTGCCAGAGACAAAGAGAAAAAAAACCTGATAAAATGCAAGCAGCAGTTTTCAAGGGGGCTAAAATAAGAAGAGAATAATAAAGGCAAATATTTTCTTCAGCTACTAATAAAAGAGATCGCAGTGCTCTTCTGAACATGGACAATAAAGAATGTTTCACATCTCATGCAAGTGAACATGAATTGAAGTCTCAGCAAATCAGCTGCTGCAGTGGGTATGCTAGTCCTGTCCCTTGATACAAACTGACTCCTTATGGCAGGCAGGAAACCTTTGCTTATTTTATAGTAAAAAATAACTGCCACAATACAAGTGAAAACACCCAGGTGATTCAGTAAAATGACAGCAAACTGCTGAAAAAAACAAACAGTAATTTGTGTTTGTACAGTTTACTCAAGGGACTCACTTTACCAGCCTTTTCTTCTCCCAGAGAGGTTTAAAATCGTAAGTTTACCTTTCAGTAATCCACAGTTCATCTGGATGCCAGCAATATGTATCCTATTAGACACGTATGTGTCTTACGATTCCTCAAAGCTATCATGAAAGTGCATCAGACACTCAGTGGCCACAATCCTCAAAGCGAAAACTTCAATGCGAGGATGAAGAGCAGGTGACAGGATCTATTTTGATGGCCTTCACTACTGTACAGCAGATGCTTCTTCTCTGTTCAAATACAACTCAATGGATTCCACTGCAGCCACCAGGAAAAGTGAGAAGTGCCAGCCAGTCTGGACCACTGCTACCTCAAGTGTGGCATCTGATCTGACAGCCAAGCCACTGTACAATGTGTGATTAACGTGAGCAGGTTATACAGTTCAGTTTCCTTGCGAGGTTGAGACATTGGCATGCTTTGGATGCAAACTGAGATCATCAGCTGAGTTTTTTTGGCACAGTCCTCAGTAGTTTAAGGAAGAGGCCTGCTGACAATCCAAGAAAATATGTGATCTATTTCAACAGCCTTTATAAATCAACCTTCCCAACTGAGTAGTCAGAAGCAGACAAGACAGAAAGATCAGGTCTTGAGAAAGCAGTGTCATCAAGTTCTGGACCATTTCTAGCCCTCAGCTGGCTGAAAAGGAGATCTTCCCTGTGAGAGCTTTCTAAACATTCCTGAACATGAGAAGCAGACTTTTTCTACATTTCCAGGCTGTTAATGATAAAACCACCGAATGCTACTCAGCATTTTCCATCAAAAAGCTGGGGAACTCCTACAAAGTGGATGAAAACCTTTACTAGAACAGTTACTGATTTTTTTACTTTAAAAAAGTAGAAATCTAACAAATTACTTCTTGCAACATCTGTTCTGGACACAGAACATTTCAGGATTTTATTAATTATTTAGATAATGGAATAGGCAGTGTACTTAAGTTGTCAGATGATACCAACCTGGGAGAAACAAGAACAGGCTAGAAGAGAGAATTCAAGATTTTCCTATTAAATTGGGAAATGGATGGGGAAAACTAGGACACAGCTCAGCACAGGCTAGAAGAAAGTACCATATAAAGCCAGAAACAATCACTTCAAAATTACAGGCTAGAAAACTAATAGGTTTTTCTAACAAACAGTAGATCACAAACTGAACACCAGTCTAAATCAACCTGTCAAAGAAAGCTCAGCCATCATACTGGAATGCACACAATGGGTATAGGCTACAGGACACAGAGCAACTTTCTGCTTTGAAAATGCCCCAGCTGCAATGCATCATCCAGGTTTGGACACTCTGCTTCAGAGAAGATGTGGACTAAAGTGAAGCCATCCACAGTGAGACTAGTCCATTCCCTCTCCAGCAGTGAGAATTATACGACTAGAAAATAGCCAAATGTAGCAAGAGATTGGAAGACTTGTTCCATGACAACAGTTTTCACTGAATTGTGAGCTTGCTGCCTAGTTGTACCGCAAATGCAGAGAACTGAGTAACTCTGCCAGTTTCTCTCTGGATGCTTCTATCTTCCCTGAGGCTCAAAGACACTGTTAACATTCAAAAAAGCAGCTCGAACCTTGCAATTCTCAGCTTAAAGATGCACAGGGAGATTGCCTAGGCACATGGAAACAAACACGGCATTGTTCATATGAGCATATACGAACCATCAAGAGCTTTACCTATGAAGGAAATACTCAAAAGAGAACTTAGCTTCTTTTTGTATGCGCCTGTTATGGCATGACAACAAATTGGCTGAAGGTGGAAACAGTAAAGTCCAAAGCTTCTCTCTGAAAAAACTCCCTCAAAGTAGGCAAAGAAACCAAGACGTGGCACCTGACCTTGAAAGCTACCAAGACCGGAAGATCAGAGAGGACTTCCAGAAAGTTGTTGTCAGGTGTTGTTGTCAGTTCCAGTCACACAGGAACTGGAAGAACCTCTGAGCAAAGCTGACAAGCGATAGGCAAGATGGATTCTGATAGAAATCTGACAAGCAAGCTAACCTGAACTACTGTTTCCCTGCAGATGTGCATTTACCAGCCATGTACCATCTGTGGAGGAATGAAGTCCTCAGCTGAGGTCAGTTCAGGCTTCCTGCACGGCCGCAAGTATCTGTTGTAGATAGGAAGTCTATGCTCCCAAACAAAGAGCTACAGGCTTGCTCTTGTAAACAGGCAAACTCAAAGCTTTGCTAAACAACAAAGGCTCTCCAAAGACAATGGATCTTGACTGAGGCACTGTATTCTTGAGGTCTTTTGCAACACTGTCCTATCTCCACAATGCCAAACATCCTCTGACTGCGAAAGTAGTAACATAAAACATTCTAAGGGCAACAAATAAAATTCCTTGAATCACATATTCTGGATAATAAACAGCCACTGCAGATTTGAAAGTACATGTTCCTAAAAGGAGAGTCACAGAACACTGTTTTCTACCGTGGTAAAAAGCAAGGACAAAGACTGAACCCTGGGTAGGTGAGGGTCAGCAGACATAACCTGGAGACTGCATCGACACACCAGGCAGCCAGTAAGAGCTCGGTAAGTATACAGCCCCTGAAGGTAAGACATGAGCAAACATACCTTTTTACAGGAGCTGTAAATTCCATCCAACAGAAAGGGCCTTCGACGTCTCTCGGGGTTGAAAGGTGAACCAAAACGAATGTAGTGTTTAGGTGTGGTACAAATTAGTGGGGAGTGGATAAGACCTGGCAACATATTTAGGGTAGTTGCCAAAACTGTTGGGTCTGTAGTAATGCGCAGAGGGCATTCAATAGGGCACTCCTGCTTTTCTGCCTTGTCATTCAGCCATTCGGTAACAAGATACTGAAGGAAAAAACACACATGTCAAATGCAACTGGCATAGGTGAAGAAGAAAGGCAATATGGTACAAAGGTGTATGGGGAAGCAGTGCTCAGGCCAGCCCCCATGCTAAAGAACACAGCCAGGACTTCCGGAGTCAAACCCAATTCTCATCTGTTGCAAGCACAACAACAGGTAATCCAGTTTTACAGAAGTAGCTCAGTTTTATGCACCGTTAATCCTATTAGAAGGTTCTCCTAAAACTTGATCATCTTGTTCAAAACTAGTTTTTAGCTGCAAGCCTAAATGTATTAATGGCTAATTTATGCCCAGTATGTGGCAGCTGCCTGCTACCTTCTACAATTTTTCCTCCTTTCCCCTACAAGTTTCTCCCAGCTTGTACATTATGTTCTGCAGTCACATTCCCTCTTGGTCTTCAGTTCTAAGCTGAAAGCTAACTTACTCTACTTTGTCCTAAACAAATACTCTCCCAGCCTGCCATTCCACCCCATCCCAAAAAGATACAGCTACTGATTCCCACATCAAACACATTTATATGCCATTCTAAATTTATTTTTAAATACCAAGTGATCTTCACTATATAATGGCTCCACTTTTGTCTCTTTGTTCTCTTTCTGGTATACACAAGAGAACCTTTGTTTTACTATCCTTCACAAGATGCAACATCCTGGTTATTTCAAGGTGGTTTTGTTGGGGTTTTTTTTAAGCAAGTCTCACTACACCTCCATACTTCTTTGTTGACAGTCTTTTTCTCCTTGCTTCTAAGACACTAAGAATGCACAGAAAACTTCTTGAGATCATATACATCCAACCTTTTCTAATAAACATCCTTTGTTTTGGGCCCAAAGCTAGTGCTCTTTTCCAAATTTTCAGCATCTAGTTTTTAAATGCCAGCTACCCCATCAGAGTTATAACAACCATTTTTGCACGCTACAGCCAAAAGCTTGTGCTAGCTTACTGTGCATAGATCCAAACACATCAGCGCTCCCCATCTTTCTATTAGTACCTTGTTCCCCTGCAGGAACACCACAAACAGCTTGTTGTGCTCATGGCCTTTTCCAGTCATCTCCAAAGCCTCTTGCTGCCCTCCACATCAGTACTGAAGCATCTGTTTTTTGCTTCCCTCAACCAGGGCTCAGCCTCCATCACCCAATTCCTTATGTTGCCAAGCCTTCCAACTCTTCTCTCCCAGGGCTCCTCAAGCTGGAAGCAGTTTCTTCCTCACATACACAAAGCTGTATAATTTGGATCTTTCTAGACTCTTTGCTGTAGCCAAAAGTGAGACCCTTCCTGTTGCACGTGCACCACCCTGTCAGTATCTAAGGTCTATGTAGACTTGCTGTAAAGATCAGTTAATTTCTTTTTCTGATCTTTGTGTGTACAGGGCTAAGCCACCAGATTCTGAACCATGATTAGGGCTATTAGCCACTATAGAACAATTAATACAGTAAATATAAAGTCACATAATTCCCACTGTTTCGAAGAACTGTTTCCCCATAGCCAACTTTTCCCCAAAGGCCACACAAAAACCTCTTCTCCCCCACCTCAGCTTAAGCACTCGATCATATTTACCTTTTTAGTTTTCGGGTACTTTACTGCAGCTCGATTAGACTGAGATCCTGCAGCCAGGATAGCAGTTGGGTCAGATCCCATCAACTGTCTGCCTTCTCCTGGACCTTCTACATTGCTGACATCTGCTGTGGTTACCAAGCTGGCAGTGCTACCTTCCTCTGGGACAGCTTGTGCGAGTTCAGCTTGCTGGGAACTGGCTTGTTTCTGCCTTCTCAGTCTTTGTGCTGAACTGGTCCGGTATCGAGAGAAGCGACTTTTTGGTCGAGGCCTGGAGGGTTTTGCTGGAGCTGGCTTAGTAACTGTTTTTTCAGGGACAGCATCCTACAATATAAACTGTCGTTAGTCTGGGCACCTCTAATATTCCTTTTCTTTGCATACAGGATCAAGGATTGAGATTTATTTATTGACACTACCTGACTCTCAAAATCTGGTTGGACCCTGTTTGTACTGGCTCATAAGATGGCTTTGGGGACCTTCTAAAACACTGCCACATTAATATTTAATCTTGCTGTGTTTCTTAAAGGGGTCAACCAGAACATTGGTCTTAAGGAAGAAAGCAGCAGTATGAAACTTGCCACTTGTCTCAAGGTAACTGCTCTTACTCCTGATCTAAGCTGACATGTATCATTCCAGGCTAGTATCTGGGCCCTGCCATATAATGGGAACACATGTATCTAAAGTAGACCGGGCCAAAATAAAACAAAGAAAAAGCAAAATAATGCCTTAATCACTGCAGTTATGCATCCAACTTAAGCTCACACCAGTACCAAAGGGGCTCACTCAGTGAAGGAGCTGGGCTTTTTCAGCCCAGAGCAGAGAAGACTTAGAGGGACCAAAACCAGCAGTCTTCCTACATCCAGACTGAAGCCACAAAGAAGTGGTGCATCAATGTACATACACTGACACGACAGGTTCAGACCGGATAACAAGGCAAAATTTTTTCACCATGAAAACAGTCATAAATTGGAAGAGGTTTCCCAGGGGGGCTGTGCAATCTCCATCCTTCCAGGTATTCAAGACAAGACTGGATAAAACCCTGGCCAACCTGGTCTGACCTCAGAGCTGACCCTGCCCGACGCAGAACGGATTAGAGACCCCATGAAGCTCCTCCCAGCCTGAATGACCTTATGATCAGATACGCTGCATCTGAGCTTGGTACAAGCTACTAAACAGTCCTATCTTCGTCTTACCACTACTTGTGAAGACCGTCGCGTGTTCACCCCAGTACTGCTGTTACTGTTAGAAACATTTGTAGCAGCAGCACTCAGTGCTGAACTTCCATCTTCAGTTTCAGGAGTCTCTGTTTTTACTTCCTCCAGCTCAGGAGCTTCAGAATTGATGTTGATTTCAGCATCCGTGCTGTTGCGGTCTGATGGTTGCTCTCGTCTCCTCTTTCTCTTTTCCAAGTTTTCAAACATGTGCATGATGGCTTCTACCTTCCTGTCTTCCCGGGACTAGAACACAAGAGTAAATTTAAGTCAGCACTGCAAATTATGCACATAAAGAGGAAGAGGCAAGAACAGATATGGGATGCAGCACAGGGAGGAGAACAACTGCCAACTAGCAATGACAAGAGCCAGAAAGGGGACAGAGAGAAGCAGTTCTTTTCATATATTTGCATTTTTCAACATGGCAAATTTCCCAGAATAACAGCAGCATAATCATGTGTTCATAGAATAACTAGAAGAACTAGACTTTGTTCTTAAATAGGACCACTTAGATACAACCCAGTTGTATTTATAAAATAGCCACAAGGAAATGCATAATTTTGAAGAACTAAAAACCATAAGAAAGAATAGAGTGAAGAGACGACTTGGAAACAAATAGAGCTACTTGCTAATGACCAAACATTAGAAGCAAATAGAAGCCAGAGGCAACAGAAGTAAGTGAATCAGTAATTTGCAGCAAGTATAACACACCACACAAACTGACTAAAATGATCCAGATTTATTCCTTCCCTGATGTCAGGAGATCTCCCAGCTCAAAAATAAAAGCTCTTGTCTAAGCAGCTTACATAGTGGATAAGAAAAACAGAACATGAGAGAACAGAGAGGCAAAACAAAGGTATTTATTAAGTAAACAGAAAGGACAGGAAATCTTATCACCTAGCTGTGTCATAAATAATTGGTAATTATGCATGTAAAAGGCCCAGTAAAATAATGCTGCAGTGACTAGCAGAAAACAGGCTCAATCAAGTGAATTTTAAGAAGTGGGGTCAAATGCCTTCTGAGACTTGTCACGGAGAAGAAAGTATCTTGAAGCACACAGCAGCACTCAAATCACAGCAACCTGGCTTTTACAGTTTTCTGTTCAAAAATATTCAAGGCACATAGAAAAAATTAGAGACTGGGAGACCTATAGATACAGGTATTTACCTGGTGCCAAGTATAGAAAACTAAACCTCATTAAAGGAGATTAACTGGTACAACATACAGGAACAGGGCTTACAGGCTCATGGGAAACTAACACATCACTTAGTCTTCTTGAACTATACTGTCCCAGAAAGAGATCAGCTTCCCTGCATTAGATTGAAATCTTCCCTCCAAGCTTAAGGCCAGACTGATGGATAACTGTTCTTACTCAAATTTCAATAGAAACTGACTGCTTTATCTTGCCTGTTCTAAAAAATCTGTGAAATAATCCAAGGATCTCTCAGATGGCCCTTCGCTCTGAAATTTGCTGCGCTATCTTAACATTTAAAGCAGTCTTGGGAAATATACACATGGAAGATCCATATCACCAATTAGAGAAAGATGGGTGCTTAAGGTATTTACTGAACAAACTAAAACCAGGGAAATCCTAGCTCCAATACATTTATTGGCTGGTAGAAGGGTGGGAGCACTTTTTCTTTTTTTCTTCCTTGTGTTTTTGGTTGTTTCTTTTGTTTGTTTTGGGTTTTTTGTTGGCTTTTGTTTGTTTGTGGTTTTTTGTTTGGTTGGTTTTTTTAAACTCAATTAAGTAGAGCCAGAACAGCTCCATTTGCATGCATAAAACATTCTAATCCAGGTAGCAATTCCAGGTGCCATAAGCAGCACAGGAAAAAAAACCCAGCTCTACTCGGTACAGGAGGCAGCTGAGAAGGGACTGTGTTATCAAAGATCCAAGAGCACCAAGAAATATTTTGACCAAGACTGATGAAGAGAACAATGACCTTATGGGTCACATATGGGAGCACAAAGGGATTTCCTAATAAAGAACATAGCAAATTTTGTTGACTTGTGCCAACAGTGCTGTTGGTGGTCTGCCCCTCTTACTAACTTTTGCCACTTGATCCTACCCTTTTCCCACACAGAAACACGTTTATGAACCCGTACAGGGAACAGATACATGTTAACAAATCTACCCCAGCAAAACCAGTCAAGTTTTAACAAAAATCAGGTTCTGGTCCATCGTATGACCTAGTTGCAGATGTCCCTGCTCATTGTGTGCGTGGGGTGGACTAGATGACCTTTAAAGATCCCTTCCAACTCAAAGGATTCTATGATTCTATATAGCTCCATAAATTTTTGTACTGGCAATAAGGAAGGGCAGCAGGAACATAGAAAGGGTGCAATTACCTTTTCTGAATCTGGTGCTGATTGTCTTGTAAATTGTATGGTTTAGACTACAAAATAGCCCTGAAAGTAACAGTCATATACCCTCTAATCTGCAGTACTTTAACATAAATCCTGTGATGTGGAGTCAACCTGGGTGTTTTTTGTTTGGGTGATTTTTTTCTTTTTTCGTTACCGGACCTGTTGGTCATTGCATGAAGTGAGTCCTAAGGGGGATGATACCCAGATTGAGAGGTACTTGCCCGTCGGCTGTGGACCAAAGTTCCCTGTTCATCTACAGGCTCTTCTTTCTCCCCTTCTTGTTTCTCCTCCTTCTCTGCCACCTGAAAGACAAGCCCAGACTTAGTATGTCAAACAAAATCCAGTACTGTTTTAAAGTTATCAAGATTCCTATAGTAATCTAAGGTGCTAAAGGTTTAAAAAAGGCTTCCTGCAGTTTCTGTTCTGAAGATACCAGTGCTGTATTGGATCAGATTCTACACCACTGAATGATAAAAATATAAATAACAAAGTGTCAAGGGTTTTACCTCATTGTCACTGACTGCTGCAGGTCCCTCAGGAACTTCCTCCGTTTGTTGACTGCTGTTCTCATCTGATGCAATGCCCTGCTGTTCCATTTCTAGCTCCTTTCGACGGGCTTTTCGCCGGCGTGTTTCTGCCCCAATCAGTGTGCCTAAAACAGGTGGAGGTAGGTGTTCTGCAGCATTTGGGCTACGTTTCTGCACAGGGCAATTCCGGTTCCCCTTGTGACACGCACAGTCCACTTTATAGTTGCTGCTCCAAAACACAAACATAATTTGTGTCACTCTTCATTTCTCAACCCTTGTACAGAGACATTCAATGTATCTCCTACTAAACATCTCACCACGTGCCAAAGCAAGGACAGCAGGCTACCTTATGGCCTCTATTGTAGAATATGCCAGCAGAACTGGACAGAATAGCCGGAAAATGCAATTCAGTAGAAAACGGAGCAAAATGTAGAATGCGAGGAAAGGGCTGGAGGAAGATGTCCAGTCCAGGAGGGCAGTGGAGAGCTCCTGGGCGAGGTGAAGGACTCACCAGATGTTGTACTCATAGTCAAAGGCGATGGTAACCTCTGTGTCCTTGGCAATGGTGGCAACAGCATAGATACACAGGTGGATCATCCCATCAGCAATCACATGACGAACCTTGTTAAACAAAGTAGAGAGAAACTAACATCTCCACAAGTTGCACTTCTTACTTCCAAGAGGGAAGCCTCCTTCTGCAAAGTAGCTCTTAGCTATTCCATCAATAATTATCCTAAATTCTCCATAGGAAAAAGCCTGCTTCACTGCTCTTGTCTCATCCTGTGCTTTTCCACTTACTACCACCTGCTTACTCTATCATTCTGCAGTCAAAGGAAAACATAAAAGAAACCTTTTCCTTCAAAAGAAAAACCTCATGTTCCTAAACTTTCTCATCTTCCAAGTATACACCATCAAACAAGCAAGAGATGCAGAGAATTTAGCCCATTTTAAGTTTGAATATTCATAAAAAGGGAATGCACTAAGCCTGTGTAAAACATGTATTTGCAATTACAGTGATGGTGAAGAGAGAATTTACCTCTGCATTTGGAGTGCAGGAACGCCTGATGAACCTGGCATCATTACCAAAGGTGCGGGCATCAACACACATTTCAACGCCATTGAACTTGGAGTAGAACAGCACAAAGGGATATGGCCTGGAGAAGTAACAGAACGTCTCAATCCCAAAATACAGAATTCCATGGCACTTATAACAGGTATCCCTCACTTCACTGGAAGCAGCACTTCCATCAGTGCTATTGCTCTGGACACTTATGCACTTCCATCATCACAGTTTAACAAATCTACTTCAGAGGGTTTTGGTCCATAAGCAGAGCATCAAGCTGAGTTTGTATATTTGATTTCACATTTCTACGGATGGCACAGCTGACAAGGGCCCTGTAAGTGTGTGCTACCCCACAGAGACACTAGTCTCTCCGTGCCATGATGCTCTCATACTAATCACTTCATAGTACTCTTACTTTTTGAAGAAATGCCCATTGACCTCGAATTGCTGTCGTAACATAACCTTCCCTCGATACTCAATTATAAGGGTATCTAGTGCCAAGTCTCTTGCTGCTCTCAGGATCTTCCGGTGCTTCTGAACCCGAGTCACCCTTCCCAGCTGCAGCTGTAACAAAAACCAGAGCAAAATAAGAGAATTTAGACCAAAGGCCTCAAATTCATGAAAACTGTTTTACCTACATGAAAAGAAAAACTACTCTAGTAGCAAAACACAGAAACTCTGCCAGGCAAATACACTCTTTATTCTGTAACACTTTAGTAATGACCAATGGCCTTGATAATATTTAACAAAAGCAAAGAGATAATTTATTCCTTTCCTTCAACAGTAAGTCTCACAAATCTATCAGACCAAGTATTTCAGTCTTGCAGCTAGGAGGCATAACCAGACCTGTCAGTTGCTGCTAACAGGTAACTGCTCTGCAATTATGACCACTTTCACAGCCAGAATAACTCAAATCTTCTGTAAATTGTGGGTTGTCACACATTCAGAGGAAGAAACACAAGATCTTCCTTCTGCAGAGGATGGTAAATTCTAGCTAACAGGCCAAAGACTTAAGCTGGCAATTTCTATCTCTATCCAGAAACTTCTCTTAATCTGCCTGTTCAACTAGCACTGTGGATTTTTTTTTAACATGAAGAAATGAATTTTTAACTAAGTAGTGACAGTTTGCTGAATCTTCTTTATGTTAAAAGTCTACAGCTCTATTACAATGGATTTTCACAACAGTGTGTCTTGACAGCATGAAAGCACAACATTCTTTAACAGACATCCAAATATGACACATTTTACAGAGTAACGGAAGGGATATCATAAGCACTAGGGCATAGGAAAGACTTCTTCCATAAAAACAAAGTACTTTTCCTGCTTAACAGGTTGAACCTCTCTGTGAGTAAAAATTATGTGAAGATGGCTGGCTGCCTCACCACAAGAGCTGTGCCTGTTCTTTCCTAAGCACGCTATTCACTGCTCATAAGGACCTGGTTTTGATGCTCTTCCAGAGTAAATTGAGGCATAAGTGTTCTTACTTCAGTAATAATGACAGTCATCTATCTAAATTAGAAGTAAACCAAGAGATTTTATTAAAAGCAAGCTCCCAACTTTTCCTGATAAAACTCTCTTGTTAGAAACAGCTACTGAGCAGTCTGCTCAAATGGATAAAAATCACATTAGCTTAAGAAGGGGCTCAGTCTGGACAATGACAGAACAAATGATGTTTTAACCTTGTGAAGATAAAGTTAATGCCTTAAGGCAGCACTCAGCACAGGGAACCAGACGAAACCCTCCGTACTGACCATATGGAAGTATTGAACCACAGTTTTTGTTTTCTTTTTTAGCAATCTTGTACGTGTTCTGAATTAAATCTTTTGGGAAGATGACTTTTATTGTTTTAATATTACATTAGACTGTTGATCTTGGATCAACCAGTAAAGTAAGATCTATTTGTTGATGTCTCTCACTCAGGTCCAGGATAAAGAAAGCTTTATAAAAATATTCATTTATCATGCCTATGGGGTATATCTCTCATACCACTGTATCTACTGGCAATTAAGAAAACCTGCATGTATGTATTGGAGACTCTGAAAAGTCTTGCAGGGTGTCGTTCATCTCTTCATATAGCGGGTCCTGATAGGAGGTCAGAGAGGATTCCCCAAGTCCACTGAACTAACATAAAAGAAACCTGTTATTTCCAGACTAAGAAGCCACGCTGCTGGCCCTAATTTCTGATCAACAAACCTATGACACGCGTGAACTGTAGGGTCAGACTGCTTACATTGCCAAGAGTAGTGGCTAAATTACTTTAAAAACATGGGATACACTTTGTACTAAGCAACTGTGGTAACAGAGAACAAATAAATAGTATTAGATTTGTTAGTGTGTGACAGAAGGAGATAAGAAGAAAGTATCTGAAGTTAGTAGATAAATTAGGAGTGAGACACAAGCATGTCTCCAGCTGAATAATTTTGTTTAGTATAACTGCTTGTTTGCTGTTACAATCAGTTTCTCATCTAAGCTGCTCCTATGCAGGAGGGCTGGACCAGATGACCTTCAGCGGTTCCTATGAACCTAAATTATTCTACTACTCTATCAAATTCCTTTAGTATCTTTCAGAGATGCAAGTTAATGTCTGGTAATCTTCACTCTCACCTTTGGCCTATGGTTGCCTTGTATTACTGTCCACCTGATGCTGGAAAACAGCTTGGGGAACCCAGGTGGGATAAGGTGGGAGGAGAAGAAAGCCCACGAAGGAAAGAAAAGCTCTGCATCTGTAAAACTTAATAATTATCTGAGTTTGGTAAAACAGGAATGATCTCACAGCTTTTCTGATAAGACCCTAGCACAGCTTGTTTTCATTCTCTGAATTTAGAAATATGAAGAGGATTATCTGCCATGCTCTCATGTGTGAAAAGAACAAATTATTTTATTCATGTCATAGGCTAGCGATTGCTGACTGCTAATCAGACAGAACTGTTGTGATATGTTTGCAGAGCAACATCTGCATAATACTCAGTGGCTTTGTTTTATAAAGGCCCTTTCGCTCTTCACTTCAGAATGTGAAATCAATCAGGGGTTTGAGCTCAAGTCAGCAATTATCAGAGGCAACAAAGGGCAAATACTGACCCTGGGTTTGGTTTGGCAACAGCAGGCAGTAAAGTGATTCACAGCTTTCAGTTTGTAAAGCATCTGGCAGTAGCCAGCACTAAGTGATTTTATTCCTGACATTGAACAGCTTCGTATTTTCACAAGTTTCCCTTTGCATCATTAGGACAGTTGAGAATTGGTTTATCCAAAACATTCCAATGATCAAAATCCCATATCCTGCATCTATAACTCTTAATCCATCCTTTCCTACTCCTCCTGGCTTGAGGAAGCTTTTAGGTCACACTTTCTTCTTCTCTCTCCTTTTCTTTTTTTTTTTTTTTTTTTTTAAAAAGTGTACCCTTGCATCATTGTTTACCCAAGCCAAACAGCTCTCTCAATTGTGAGAGTATGCAGGGCATATAAAACATTTTATTTGTATTCCTTTCTCCTCTCTCCAGAGTCTTCGTGGTCAAATAGAGCAGTTACGATACTCATCTTCTACACACAGCTGCTATCTGCATATTGACACGACCTCCTTAATATTTTTTCTAGCTCAAAGTACCTATTTCCTTATCCCAGAAAAGCTATTTTTACATCCAGTAATGATATCTAGTTAAAAGACAACTGATGCAAACCAAGAAGCCATATCAGTTTGTCTAACAAAGATGAGACAAATGAGTGGAACAAAACCACAAAGCACAGGATGAGAGACCACGCGCTCCACACCTGTGCAGGCTATCCTCCTCGCAACACTCCACAGCCATCTGCTGAGCAGAGAAACAAGGACATGAGGGCTGACAAGCAGCAGCCCGGGAAGCCACCTGGTCTTTCCTCAGTATCCAAGAGGAACTACAAAGCCGCTAAGTCCCTTTGTAATTTCTCAGCATGTGCAATGATAGGTACCTACCTACAGCTTGGTTAGAGTAACTGCAGCTCACTATGAAGTTTTGCAACTTTCTATCTTTTTGTTTCTTTGGGATATATCAGGTTTGGAGTCTTCTGATTTGGAACACTGGCCACTTTTCCCTGTGGGGAAAACTATGTACAGGGAAGGGAGAGGGCAAAAGAGCATGACAAGAACAAGCGCATTTATGTATGGTATCTTTTATAATCATCTGTTCTGCTGTACTCTTATGAAGGTGATAAAAAGAAACAGTATATGTTTTATTAGTTATTTCAGGACTTTTCCTAAAATTCATGTGAAGGAAATAGAAGAGTTTGCTTTTAGACTCAGAAAATATTAAGATTTCTAGAGAAGCAGAACTTTTTCTTCCCTGTATTTCCTCAGTAACTCTCTTTAGGAAGGTGACTCACATAGCCAAGTAGAAGTGTTTCTCCCCAACCGCCCAAAGAAGTCTTATTACTGCAGAACTACAAGCAAGAGTGGAAGAAAGTTGGGTCCAAAGTCCTCTTTCTGCACTCTCCCTTACTGGCAATATCTGCACTCTGCCTGATGTGTTTCACCTCTGCGAAAGCTGAGGGAAAGGTGGGAGGGAGCACGTGAACCTTGTGGAGGGTGAGTCAGCTGATATAAACAAGAATGATTCAACCACAAACATCTACCTGATATTCAGGTTTCTGGCTCTGCTCCCCTTCTACAGAAGAGGTGCCCCACATCTGGTTTGGAGCCCGTCCTTTTCAGCTGCCCCTATCTCCACTCTCCTGGACGACAAAGCCCCACAAGACCTCAACGGAGTGAGAATGCTGCTTTCTGTTCAATAAAGCACGGACCAGATGAAACATCAGCCAAGAATAGTAGTGAGGAGGACATACTCCACACAAACACATCCTTTTTCTGTTTCTCCTTGTGTACGTGCACTCCATAAAGCTGGCAAGACACCAATCATTGCACATCTCGGAAAAGTTGGGGAGAGACAGCTCCCTAAAATCAACTGTAGTTGTGCAGTATTTGAAAGTTACCAGAGTCCAAATAATCACCCAAAATATTGCAATAATGTTGAAAGGTTCTTTAAAATAGCTTTCCTCACAATGTGAGCCGGGGGGGGGAATAAAAAAGAAAAAGAAAAAAAGTACAGGAAAACTCAGCTGGAAAGCAGGAAATTTCCTATCTCCAGCAAGTGATAGATCTGGTTTTGCCTCAAGCCATTCAGTGACCAAAAGCATTTATGGTAAAATACCTATGAACCATATCACAGAACTGTACAAGATATCCCCAACTTAGCAACAATGATTTGGTTGAATGAGAGTGTTTCTGAATCTGTCTTGGAACTGGCATCTCTTAATTTCCCTTTTATATCAAACCTATGTCTTTTGGTCCAAAATTATATGACCAGCTACGACACTGCTCACCCATGCCCATGCCTTATATCTAGAAACCAGAGGACCCGACCTATCCCACTTGTGTTACCAGGTTCTTACCTGCATCTGGGACCCAATAACAGTATTATTGCAGGCCAACTCTGTTTTGTTGATTGTGTCTAGCATAGCAGTTTTGCCCACATATTCTTTATTAGAGTTTAGATGACGCTCCAACAAGTTCTGCACATCAGCACTGTACTGGTTAGTAAAGGCTTCTTCGTACTGATCTGTCCAGAGTCGTATTCGATTCTCCCACCCTTCAGCTGTGTTTTCATCCAAGGCATGCGCTTCAGAAGGGGAATTCTGCACCAAACAGCAAAGTGTGAATGGCTAGCACACAACGGGAAAAATGCTCAGTGCTCTGAGCATATGAATATGCTACCAAAAAGGCAAATCTATCCCAAGCTTAAGAAAGTGTTGGTTATGAGGGCACCCTTTTCAGAACCTGCATCCTCCAGAACATTGCACAAAAGTGCCACTTAGGACTCCACAGAGAACTCTGTGCAGGATGGAGACCTCTCGAGAGTTAGTAGTTGGCACTAGTACATACAAGAAAATTAAGCTAGTACTTGGCCAGAAAAGTTTTAAATCACTTTGGAAAAATAATTAAGCAGATTAAAAAAGCAAAGGAACAGAACACACAATGGCAAATAAATCTCATGTAGGCTTGTCCTACAGTCAACCCACTCATGTCCAACATAATGCTAGATGATGCTAATTGCATCTCAATCTTTGCAGTGACTGACCCAAAAATACTTCTTCCATCAGGGTTTCAAGAAACTGAATGTAGAGCATAAGCTAACACCCAGAGGGTTAAAACTGCAAGTCCTAAGCAGTGTAAAGAAGGGAGGGCAAAACTGGGTAATCCATTTATACCATCTTGTAAGGGAGGGGAAAAAAGGAGCTGGTAGAAAAAAAAAAAAATTAAGCTTTATTCTTTACTTGACAATAGTTGAAGTAATTCAACAAATAATATTCCAGAGGTCAGTAACTCAACTGGCTTCGTAAGGGACTGAGACATATGTGACACTGATGTATTAGTGACAAGGACTGCTGAAGAGCAATCATTATTTTCATCATATATATTAAAAGCATTAAGAGTTTTCATGCATTTTTACCCTCTCAAGGCACTTGCGAACTACGGGGGCAGGTGCATACAGACAGACACACCTCAGGATTGTCCTATTTCCTCTGAGCCACCTGCTAGAAGCCACTGTCAGCTACAGTACTGGGGTCTGGACCCGAGTGAACTTTAAGGCACCTCTTGTGTTTCCGAGTACATTCTAGCTCAAAGTGCAAGGCTACTTTTTTTGCCAAATAAACTTTGTATCAGATAGCCACACCTACCCATATCGCAGAAAGTCAGAGATAAATATATCATCCCATCCATCCCTACTAAGAGGATGTGGAGAGAAACAAGGCAACACTGCTAGGGACTCGCAACATCAAACTTGAGTGCTACTTTGATGCCCAAGCTTAAAATAGCTTTGATGCAATCAAATGATAACAGACCTCACAGGAGAGTGGCCACAACCAGTTCTACATCCCTTCCATCAAACACCCCACTCCCAAGTGTCATGAATCAGTCATATCTCTTGGAACTGGATGACGTTACCTTACAGAAAGCTACCTGAAGCAAAAGCAGGGTTCAAGGGGCAATTCCTGTGATACCCTTTTGAATAGGCCTGCTGGTGATGCATGGCTTGAGATTATCTGAGGCTGGTCCCACAATCAGCAATTCCCCAGGCAAACCAAGAGAGGCACAAAATACATGGCAAAAAACCCCACCACCATCACAGAGCATTCTCAGTTCTACTCACCTTCATCCTCAGAGACTTTCGTGAGCCCTCTCGAAAGGCCTGTTGCCCGAACAAGGAGAGAGAGAGAGAAAAAAAAACCCCAAAGTATTATGTATTTCCTCAGAATTAGCATCCCAGAACCACACTAGATCTTACTCCAACAGACCAACCCTTAACAAAAGATGGCAAGATTTACAGGAAGACCTACACAAGAAGCAGTGGACTTGAACAAAAAGACTCTGCAATGCAAATCCAGTGGAAACTGCTGAAAAGCTTGATGGCCAGGATTTCTGAACTAAAAAGACCTGCCTCATACTTAGTGAAAATCTCAAGATCAAAACCAAAACTGTCCCGACTAACCCCACTTGCTTTGACAGAAGAAAGGGCCAGCAACAGAATTAAGCTGATTCACAACAAAAAACCTGAAGACCTCATATGGCTCCTGCTCCCAGTCTTTTATTTAATATCAGTGTCTACCAGAAGAACTTCAAGGGAAACCTAAGCTGGGGAAAACCACGGTAAAGCTAGCAGATCATGGGAAAGAACCAGCTGCTCACACACTTCAATCCAATATAAGCAATCCAAAATTATTTCAGTCCCCAAACCCTCACAAACAAGACAGGAAAGTCATCCCTCAACAAATGTTCATCACTACCTACATAGTTTTCCAGACAGGCACTATCTCTGTCCCTGAAGAACAGTGCCAAGAAGCTCTGCAGCCCAGATTCCTTAACATAGCCTGCTAAGAAATGCCATGCTCCCTTCTTTTTTCATTCCATTCACACACTGCCCCTTTGCTCCAAACAGGCAGACTCAAAAAGCTAGTTCCCCAAATCCTAATACAGCAGAAGGGAAAATATGTAATAGAATGCAAGCTTGGAGCACGAATGGACAGTGTTGGGAAATAAGGGTGGAGTGCCAGTAAGGTAATTTTTAAACCAACAGCCATGTACTCTAGCAGGTCACAAATACAAGGCGCCACATTATTAAACCAGAAAGAGTAATTCCTGCCTGACAGGACAAAAAGTTTCTTGTCTACTGGCAGCTTCTCAACCTGCTCTCAACAACACTCCACACCGCATTTGGTAAGAACTGCAGCAACCTGGTCTCACTCCACATACCTTGATCTTTTTGGCCTTTGGAGCAGTGCGAGCTTTTTCTGTACTCCTCTTCCTCTTCTTAGGTTTGCTTCTACGGACGCGGTTGACAGTCAGCGTGATGCTTGTAGGGGTGTGCTGAGTAGCTGTGTACAGCACTGTAGAGGGAGATAGCTCTTCATCCCAGCTCTCAGTTGCACTGCTGTCCCCACCTATAGAGAGGAGCACTTAATTAGCAATGTTTTTATTCATCCCAGAGAGAACAGTTTACCCTTATGTGCATTTTCATCAAGACGACTTGATGACCCTGCATAGCTCTTCCCTGAGAAAACTATACCACCTTGGTTTTCCCACCCAAACTGGGAACAAGTCTCCCAAACTTCTGATATCTCACAGAATGGCACCAATGAACATTTCCCTTTTCTGGTCACAAGATAATCTGACTTTCCCCAAGAGCTAACTGAGGTGAGGCAGAAAGAGAGGAGAAAATCCCAGTGGTTGGGAGGCAAAGAACATTAGCAGGCACTGATCACAGTTAGATGATTACAGCAGCCAGAAGACAAAGGTCTTGTAGAAAGAAAGCAAAAGTCACCATTATCAGAATTACAACCTCAAGCTCACCTGACACGTTGTCCTGCTTCCGGCGGCGGAGTCTGATCACCTTCCCCCTGCTCATTCCTCTGCCAAAGGAGAATGCACAATTGAAGCTGGTTTGTAGGAGTAAAGTCACTTGAAATTCAACAGGATGTCACAAGATGCGTGCCCTCAGTGGGGCCCAGGATGATAAGAACATCGATTTAACATCCTCATCTCCACTCCTGGTGCCACCAACACTTGTCAGGCTGACAACGCAAAGGAGGAGGGTCAATACTGGGTAAAGCACTGGAAAGAACGCTCCAGTTAGCAAAAGGAATTCTGTCCCACAGCCCAAACGTGACACAGTTCGGTATAAGAAGTCAACACAAGGAGCAGGCCAGATCTGCGCTGCACCAAAGCTTACCTGCACTTTTCACACTTGAGGAGGAAACCATCTTGGGAGACACTGCAGTGGCACCAAGTGGGAATTGATTCTCCTTCTGAGGAGCTCTCACTATCCCCGGAGTTCTCCTCATCAGGCGAGTGCAGGCCGTTCAGTTCTGCACGAGGTATAATGGTCTGAACAGGAGGAGATGCTGGCGGCGTTGGAGGAGGAGGGGCTCCATAATTATGATCCTGAAAACGAGTATTTGCAGTACTACTTTTAACATGAAGATACGATGCCTAGAAACTGAAGTCCTAAATCCACAGTTCCCAGGTTATTATTTAACAACTGGTATAAAACAGTAGTGTGAACTCCTTAATCTACCAAGAAGGTAAAGCAACAGCTCTCAAAGATGTAAATGGTTTTCTTCTGCACCAATTAATTAAATTCAAAAGCTATGAAAACAACTAGGCTATATCAACGTTAACTGTTGTACTGCTAATAATCTGAGATGACTTCAGTGGTCAAACATGGGAACCGGTTGCCCTGAGACATTGTGGAGTTTTTGTCTGTTGAGATATTCAAACCCCAACTGGACATGGTCCTGGGCAACCTGCTCAAGCAGAGTCAGCTTGAGCAGGGGGGGTTAGATAACATGATCTCAAGAGGCCCCTTCCAACATCAGTGATTCTGTGACGTCCTGTTCATCCCATAGTTTCAAGCCATGCTCCCACTCTTCCTAACTGTTCCTTGTTTCTCATAGTTATAAATTACCAATATGAAAATCTGCACAGTTGATACAAGTATAAATAGTGCACAATAAACCAAACGGGGCATAAAATTACCAACAGGAAGATATTATATATTCATATATATTCAGACTTCATTCAGTTAAAAACCTATCACCTAGAACACTAATAAAGCTTGCTATAGAGCATGCAAGACTTCACAAACAATAAACACACAAATGCAAAATGTATGGCAGAACTCAGCTGTAACTCAGTGTTCCCTAATAAATAATCCAAAACTCCTAAGGCTTAACAGGCAAAGAACTATGGAACAAGGAGAAAAGAGTGAAGTAGACAGTAAAGAGCTGATTCACTGCAGAGAGAGTACTCACTGCGTAAGGCAGCCCGCGATAGCTGTGTTTCTGGGTGGCCCCATAGCCGTGGCTGGAGTACACATTCTTCTCACTGACAGCTGGACTAGCTTCCACAGACTCTGGGCTGCAGAAAGGGCCAGAAGTAAAACCCATCAATACCACATTTTTTTTTTTTAGTGCCAGTATTTCACTGCTCTTTTCTGTTCAACACATGAGCTCTTCATGAAATCGAGGTGTTACTACGTGCTTCACCAGGCATCATGTGTGCAGAAGCTGTACAGGATGAACCTGCTTTCAGAGGGAAGGAACTGAGTAAGGGCCACCCTGGATAACTCATTAAACTGGGTCTCAATCTAGGAAGTTAAAAAGATAATTAGCATGTAAGAAGCTCAGTTTCCTTATAGTTGAGGAAGCTGGGTCTAGTTCAGCATTCACATCTGAACTCAGCCAGCCTAATCTCAAAGCCACTGAACAGTTCTGCCATGTTATCTCTGTAACAGCTTATTTCAAATAGCAGCTAAGCAGCTTTCCTGCATCTGTGCTCATTTCTCTCTCCTTCACACTAATTGTTAGTCAAGTCCAACATCCTGTGATAAAGTCTGCATGAAACCTCAAGCTGTCTTGATAGCAATGACCAGGAGTTAGAGATTCCTGTTACAAAAAGGCAACAAAAAATCGTGACCTGGACAGACAGCAGCCACAGGCAAATCAGATTTGCCCTGTGCTTTCTAAACAGCAACATGGTATGCAATGTGCTGAACAGGGAATTCGCTGCTGAGCTACAATGCACTCTTCCACCACACGGTGGTGAAAAAAACCAGCTAAAAATGAAAGGTATATCCTTAGCAGAAAGCTGCAGAAACCCTACTCAGAGAAGGGACAGCTGCAATTCAATGCAGGGAATATTAGATAATGAGGCTACAGACAGAACGCCAAAGAAACAGACTGTCTGTTACAAGCAGAAGATACAAGTCAGCTAACCTCCGCACAGATCAGAAGTAGAGCCCATATCAGAATACAGCAGAAAAATCACTGAATCATGTCTGCAGGTGAAATCTTCTTCAAAATTACAGCATGGAGCTGAGCAAGCAGGAAAGAAAAATACAGGAAAGAAAAATTTTACCTTGGACCTCTGCTGCTCTGGTGAGATCTTGCAGGGTTCTCAGTGGGTCCTACATTGTCAGCGTGAATCGGGCAGTACTCAGACAGCAACAGCCAGTGGTCACGCGTGGGGCAGTTTAGACACTACCCAAGAACACTAACCCCTGTGCTCTTTGGACTTCGTATTAGCTCTTGAAATCTCTGCTGCGCTGAAGTTTGCCCCACCCTGCCACTAAACCCGATATACTCTCCAATGCACTAACCTTCTGAGCTTCTGGCTTATTCTGGAGTAAGGTGGATCTGTCTTTGCAACAAAAAGGAGCAATAATTTATTGTACAAAGAACTGCATAACATAGAAGACCTTAAACCTATGCAAACTGCACTTCTGTAGCTCAGGATTTAGAAGCATGACATGATAAATTCAGTTGGTTTTCAAGGTAACTACAGCCAGCTAAATTGTCAGAAGCAGGAGATACAGGTGGCAACACCTCTCAGAGGATAAAAGACACTTGCCACATACCCCAGCCTTGCCGGATCTTTGCAACAGTGCTTTAGGAATTACAGACTGCTAGAGAGTTAAATCCATGCAGGTTTAATCATGTTTTCAGAAACAGTATTAGAAGGAAAAGAGCCTAAACAGCCTAAGCAGCAGATCTGTCCTCTGTTCAAGTCACCCACATCCCTAACTACAGTCAGCCTGGAATACCAGCAATGCTGCCGCAAGCAATAGCAATAAAACGTCAAGACTGCTGGTGCAACGGTGTCCAGGGGCAACAACGCTGGGGCCCACGCTTCCTCAGCAGCAGCCCGCCAAGGAGCTTCAACAACTTCCAAAATGCAGTCAGACTAACACAGCAAAACTACTCTGCAGCCTCCATGTCACCCTCAGATGAACACAAATATCCTTCAGTATTTTCACCTCCCCTCTGTATCGGGGGCTGGGGAAGATGCTAAAGCTGAGCCTGTAAAGAGGGACAGGTAATTTTCCTTTTATCTTCCCACTGCCCTCGTGATGCACATCTTTGAAATTAATCCCTTAAGAGACAAGAAGCCCAGGTACCCCAGACTTCATGCTTCAAGCTAGGGAAGTTTCAAAGGAGAAGCAGAGGATAGCCTTAACTTTGAACAGACTCACGAAGGACACTTCAGCAGTAACAGTGAATCAATGCAAAGCCTGGAGAATAAAGTGCTGGCATTCCCAATTTTTAGAAAACAGACATAGAAACCAATTCAGAAATTTTCAAAAGCCTTTCTTCAAAGCACTCCAGCCTAGCCTCAAGTTGGACCTACGAATTTCTTACAATCAGGGAAAAAGAAAATGCTTTGCAGAAGGTTTACAGACAGGCTTTTTGATATTTAAATGTTACAGGGACATGCGTAGATATATCTAGCTCTCCTCTTTACCATGCTCAGCTCTGAAAGCAAAGTGCCTAGTACATGAGTAAACTATTTAGCACTCTTTCTCCTGTCATAAACAGTTTAAAATTCCTGCATGTTGAGTCTTTAAAGTGCTGGTGTGGGAGAAGCATGGTGACAAGCCATACTGAATGTTAAATCTTGAAAAGTGAAGGATCATATACCCACTGTAGATGAGTGACTTACTAGATTCTGACTCCCCATTTAAAAACAACATGTAAAAATATGGGCTTTAGGATGGAACGAAGCATTACGAAGAAGAATGCCTATAATGGGGACAGTGCCAAGACAGACAAAAAAGAGCATTAGCAGTCTTGCAGAGAGTTCGACTCTGTAGTCAAACTCTGTGCATAGTCAAATCAGGGTAAGATGGAAGGGAAAAACAATGATTCATACCCTAAGCCCAGTGCTCCTACAGCTCAAAATTAATAGAGTCTGGAGCAATATCTGTTCTACACCAATCAGTCTGACACACAGGTATTTGCACAGTAGGTACCTTTAAATAATACATGGGGGAAATCTATCTCAAAAATGTCCTTTGTAAATTTGTGTAAAGAGATGCTACAGTCCGTATTTCAAAGAAGGATGCAGGAAATCAGGAGGTAAAAGCACACAGAAATAACTTGAGCCCTCCCTCTCGCCCCCGACAAAAACATAGTACTCATCTGAGCTGACATCATTCTAACAAGGGTTTTAAGAAAAGATCACAATGCAATATTTTCTGGATTCAAAATGTTCCTGACTCCTGCAGAAGAAGTGTCTTTTAAAAGAAATGGTAAGTCCCCTCCAGCAGGCCTCAGAGATAGGACTGTGGCGAGAGCCCTGCACAGGGTCCTATGGTGGGGACCCTGAAGGATTGCCCACGGAGGTGTGTCTCTTGGAACCTGCTCAAGGGCAGGAACAAAATAAAGGTGTCTACACAGGCTGATGCTGTCTCATATCTCTGGCCAAGCTCCAAAGGGGTCCAGAAATCAATCATGTAAGATTGGTACTGAGTCTCAGCTATTAGGCTCTACTGAGACAGAGGCTCAGCATGCTGATCCCTCATATAACACAGCTTTTGGAAAAGGAGCTGGCTTGTACCTTGCCAACGTCAAGCATGGGTACAGCAAACACACAACTGCCTGCACCTGAGTACAGACTTACTAGCCTAGCTGATAGAAAACCCATGGTCAAGTGCCTCATACTGTTGGAATTCTCCTTTTCCCCATGTCTTGTGTCAAACTTACCAATTTCCATAATACTGCATTTGTTAACCACTCACAATCTGTCTCTGCTTTCATCTCTCACACAGCCAGCAGACCAGCACCCCTTTTCTCCCAAGTGGAGAAAGCATCAGCATGGATCCTGCAGCCCCACTGCAGGGCAGCCCTCTGACACCCTCCCCTCCTCCTCCTCCATGGGGTAACACTCACTCCGATCCTGCAGCCATGTCGGAGTAGGACGTATCTGGTGTGGTGACTCCCAGAGGGATTGCAATGCTCATGACGCCCGTCGGGGATCACGGAGTCCAGAGGGCAGCGACTGGCCGCTCCGAGGGCGGAGAGGAGCCGCAGAGCCTCGGCCAACACGTCACGGACATGGGGAAACCTACCGGGGTAGAAACAAAGCATTGCATCTCCGTTACGGGATGAGGTCTCCCTGTATACCCTTACAGAAGGCTTTCACAGCAAAAGAAAAGCAGGAATAGATTTCTGTCAGCAACACGCCACATCATTTTTACTTCATTTTCATACGTGGGGCCAGGGAAGAGGTAGATGGTAGTAGTTTGGTGGTGGTGTGTGTGGGGTGTTTGTTTGCTTTACAGTCTTGGATTGACATGCAATGAGCTGCTCTGCCATAAAGCCGATAATGACAGTTCCCCCCTCCCCCAACTAAACTTAGGGCTAATTATCAGATAAGCAATCTATTAGCTCCTTCTACATATAAGCAGCAGCTGTCACCTATCACCCACAGCCCTCCATCAGCATTTCCCAACTCCTTCCCCAAAAAAGTTGCAGGCAAAGCCCTGTCTGGGAGGACAATGAGACAGAGCCTTGGCAGACTGAGCCAAGACCTCTTGCTCGAGATCAGCCTGTATCTGCATTCACTGGGCGCACGGCACGGGTGGGCGCCACCAGCAGAGCGGCTATCCCCGCGCCACCGACGGCTTCCCCTCAGCAAGCGAGGCCCGTCCTGGATTCTGCACAGATTACTCAGTCCAGCGAGCCCTGACGCAGCGGGCCCCGACTTTCCGAAATCCCAGCTGACACCTCCCCGCGGCAGAGCCACGTCAGCCGTCTG